CTCAACACGCAAGACGAAACAGCCTCAAGACGAAACAGCCGCAGACGAAACAGCCGCAAGACGAAAAGCCGCAACAACACCCGCAAGAGAACAGGCGAGGACGTAATACATGAGCCGCCAAGAGGAAACAGGGCAAAGACGAAACAGCCCAAGATCGACACAGCCGCAAGACGAAACAGCCGCCCGACGCAGAACAGCCGCAAGACGAAACAGCCGCACGACGAAACAGCCGCAAGACGAAACAGCCGCAGGAGATCGCAACACCTCCGGACGACAACAGCAGCACGACGAATAACAGCCGCCAAGACGAAACACAGGCCGCAGACGACAACAGTCCACAAGACGAAACAGCCACAAGACGAAAATTAGCGCACGACGAAAACAGCCGCAGACGAAACAGCCGCACGACGAAACAGCAGCACGACGAACAGCACAAGACGAAACAGCCGCACGACGAAACAGCCGCACGACGAAACAGCCGCACGACGAAAACAGCCGCAAGACCAAACAAGCCGCAAGACGAAAAGCCGCAAGACGAAACAGCCGCAAGACGAAACAGCCGCACGAGAAAACAGCCACAAGACGAAAGAGCCGCAAGACGAACAGCCCGCAAGACGAAACAGCCGCACGACGAAACCGCGCAAGACGAACAGACACAAGACGAAACAGCCGCACGACGAAACAGCCGCACGGACGAAAACAGCCGCACGACGAAACAGCCGCAAGACCAAACAGCCGCAAGACGAAACAGCCGCAAGACGGAAACAGCCGCACGGACGAAAAGCCGCAAGACGAAACATGCCGCAAGACGAAAACAGCCGCAAGACGAAACATCCGCAAGACGAAACAGCCACAAGACGAAACAGCCGCACGACGAAACAGCCACAAGACGAAACAGCCACAAGGACGAAACAGCCGCAAGACGAAACATCCTCAATACTAAACATCCTCAATACTAAACATCCTCACTACTAAACATCCTCACTACTAACATACACAATACTAAACATCCTCAATACTAAACATCCTCACTACTAAACATCCTCACTACTAAACATCCTCAATACTAAGCATCCTCAATACTAAACATCCTCAATACTAAACATCCTCAATACTAAGCATCCTCAATACTAAGCATCCTCAATACTAAACATCCTCAATACTAAACATCCACATAAATAAACATCCACAATAATACAAATCCCAAAAAATTATAACATTTAGGGTTTATTTCCTTCAAAATAAAGAGAGCCTTTCTTTTTTACAAACTCCATGTTTTGTTTTATGTCACCGTAGCAACGCCTTCCAGCCGATCCAGCAGAGAGCAGTGATGTCACACTGTACTGTAGGGCGATACATCAGCTATAAGCTCCTCCCACCTCAGAACAAACACTCAGAACACTCAGAATGTGTGTTGGTGTTCTACATTCTACTCATAGAGATGGAGGTATCACTGATTCTGCTGCAACACCCAGAGCAGGGCTCTCCAAGCTTGTCTAGCATGACAGATACTTTTAAACAATTTAACATGTCGCGAGTGACTCTTTTTTTTTTTATAGCTTTCAAATGTGTTTTCTGTCAATATACCTGGTAAAAATGATCGTTAATAAACAGCATTGGGCATGACAGGCCTCATAAAATAATATTTTGTATTTTCCCGAATTCTGTGTCTCGATTTTATTTTTCCTGGTTTTGGATTTGTTTCTGTTTTTTTACCCTAAATATTACAATTATTCATAGAGAAACAACAAAAAATGGATGTTCTCCGTCTGTCAATGCTTAAATCACATCAGAAGACCATTTTTGAGGTCTCGATTATTTTGTGAAACTCCCCTTTAATTGTGCATCTAGCAAGACAGGAAAGTGTCAGTCTAGAGATGTTGCTGCTGTTTGGGGTACTGCTGCAGCACGTCATGGCAGAGTTTGTAAAGCAATGGCCACCTAATTGATACAAATCATTATGATAGAGTTCTGCCAGGGAAGCCTACTTTGCTCTTAACATATATTAATTGAGAAGGTTGTTGGGGAAAGTATTTCTGTCTACTGTAGTGTCGAGTACAAGAGTACATTCGCGCTACGAAATAAGCAAAAACTTACCTCAGGAATATTATAAGTACCTCAATAACATTTTATTTTATTTATTTTAATCCGTCATTTTATTTTATTTATTTTAATCCGTCAACATATCTCTAATTTATCAATTCAATAGGTCTCAAGAAAACAGTTTCATCTTCAAACAGCAGCCGATGTAACAACCAGAATACACCATTAGACTCTAAATCTCTTTTGCTCCTTCGTTCGTCTGAGCCTCCCCACAGTGTAGCAGAGGAGTGACCTATTTACCCCTACGTCACTCTAGTGTCGTAAAATCACACGCA